CTACTCGCAGCCTCCTTAGTTCTGGGAGGAGGGAAAGGCTCACCTGTCCATTAGGTAGAGCACTATAGTGGCTAACTATGACGAGCATATTGTTGACTAATTCCCACTGTATGTTGAGTTAGAAAATAAAAAAGAAAAAGTCACAACAGTGACAAGACTTTCCTTCCAACCTATAGTAGTTCGAGTAATTCCAGTAGTTTTTGGTGCTCACTTTGAAAGAAAAGCCACAATATCCTTCTTCGCTCAGCTGAAGAGTGTATTTTCAACTGATGATAAAAATCGGGACGTATACCTACCTTTCTTCGACGTCCGTGGAGATGATGATGGTGACCATCTTCGCCTGGTAGTGAAGGACAGTCTTTAGGCGGCGTTATGCCGTCGCAACCACCGTCATATTTGAGGCAGAGCGTTATCTAAAAGAACCTGGGTATGGATATAAAGAAGAATGAAAGTAGAGAACTGGATCAGCTAAATGATGTAGTGTGACTAGCTCATTGAAAATTAAGTGGCACTATTGAGTTTGTTTATCATCGTGAAGCGCACCTGACACTGGAATTGAAGAACTGGACGGTCAGCGTATTTGAAGACATGGTAAGCCTTAGTAGCTAAACGGAGGGAACTGTCATATTCAGGAGTCGACAGCAGGACAGCGTCAAGACCACATCTGAAAACAACCTCACTCTAGACCAGAGGGTGAGGCTGAGAATTTTACACACTTCGCGGCGACGCGCAAAAACTAGCAGAGTACAAGGTGGATACAAGCCCTCACACCCGGATTTATGGACCAAAACAACACGTACCCTTTTTCTCCAAGTATATCGACTCTATCGCCGAAACCATTGTCCACATAGCATGAGTGGACCAACATTCCAAATGTGTCCTTTTTCTCGACTTCAATGCACTCCCACCTAGAAGTTCGGGATTCTTAGAGCTGACATTAGAGAAAGCAATCTACTGGCTATAGAACGACTACTAATGTGTCACACAAAATGCCTCACCTATGAAAAACGCTCTCTCCAAGTGTAGCGTAACGAACGATTTCTCCGTCCGGACTGCCCTTTCTGAGCGTGTAGGAGCATTGTGGCATTTGATATACTTTCTCACGGAACTGGGTAGTAATCATACTGAAATCCAACAAAACCGATTTCCATCAAATTGAATTTGAAAGCGCTCGTGATGAGTACTAACCTGACTGACAGATAGAAGCATTGTATTTTCAACCATTTGATCAACTTTTGTCATGAATCTAAACCGGCTGATTTACCATGATTACACAAAAAGAGTAGACTGGCCTCAGAAATAGTGAGCTCTTTGATAATTTTCTCATTTTTGCTCCATCAAAGCAGCCATGCGGCTTCAAAGGGCACATTGCCGGCGATAGAAAATAGGCTATGACCTCTCAAATTGTGTTGGACGATCCGGGAAGGCGAATTTTTGAGGCTGCGCTACTTTCAAAATGTGAAAACGGCAAGAACTCCGCTAGAAGCTGACTAATTAGGCCCATTGACACCCCTTAGGCCCATGCCGACCTTCACCGGCTGCTAGCTACTAGCTAGTAGCCACTATGTTATTCTTGTCTGCGTATAACATATCGGACTGCTTTTTCTGCTGCTTTTCTCCGCTAATCAGATACTTAGCACTTTTTGTGCCTATTTGAGTTCCGTTTCCCGCAATTTGCGGTCGCGAACTGTGCCTTTAAATAGGTGGTATCATTTCCAGTGGGCGCTATTACCATCTGATGCAAATTTGAGGTATGCGAAAAAGTTCTTCAGAGCAAAGCAATTCTACGCCAGAGCGAAAACTTTTCCAACTTTCGAAAATGTTCAGAATTTCTGTTCTCTTCAATACACGCACCAACCAATACTGGGGGGGGGGGGGAGGGCAGAAAAAAACACTTTTCTTCCTTGACTTTCGAGGCGCTATAAATTACACTTTATTAAGTTTCTTATCGACATTTCTGAGCCTATCTATAGTTAAAGAGCATATTGGATACACTATCACAAATACTCCGGGCACAGCCTTCTGGAGCAGCGCCATCGAGAGGTTCTGCCACGCGACCGTGAGATGGTACTTGAGTTCAGCGAGATCGTTGACTTCTCTGCCACTGTAGACCACCCTATTAAACTTGTCCTTCCGATCGGCAGACAATTGGAGGGGATTTCATGTCCGCAATGACCTGCTCAGGAGATTCCTATTCTTCAGGATACTCACACCCTTTCCATATCAAGGTAGGGCTAGAGTTTTTTTCCAACGCCGCTTGTCGACTCCATGTTGGTGTCACCCAATCAGGCTATAGGCAGGTGCCGAAAGTTTCGCTAAAAAGATACGGGCCGACGACATGTGAGGAGGGGTATTCATGCTCGAGTTGCTGCCATGTGCCCGCCCGAGCATTCAGCGGCTTCAGTCCAATGTCCGACGAAGAAAGAATATCGGTGCTTTCCACGTCCGGTCCATACCATCAACCCGCGCCTTGACGACTGTGGTGAAGATGATGTCCTAGACCGTGGCGACGTTGTCGGAGCTGCTCGATGTTGGAGGTCATCCAGATCGAGAGTACTGGTCTCCAGGTAGCTATCCATGGGTGACTCCATACTAGAAGTTTCGCAGCTGTTTGGAGGTGACATGAATTCCAAAGGTCTTCTCCAGTCAGGCTGCGACTGGAGATGACCTCATATTTTGGTGTACATGAAGGTGATGGGCGAGAGCCAGCTCCTGCTTATCGAGGAACATCTTGGTATCTTCCGCCCTGGTACTCGTATCCACGTCCTCTGTCTGGGCTGCGAAAACTTTGCTGATATCTGACTCGGTCGAAAGTGTCTTTTTTTTGCCCCTCCCCCCTGGTAATTGTACCAATCATGGGAGCAGTGGACGGCGTGCGTTCTGCTTTTCGGCGTGTAGGATTGTTGCGCCTTGGATTAGGGAAGGTCCTCATTCTAAGAAGGCTGGGGACTCCAAGTAAAGCCATTGAACAAGAGCCATTTTGAGGTCAGCGTTTTTGTTGCATTGTCCTAATTTCTTGTGAGTATACTTCAGCGACTGAGAAGCTAGAAGTCAGGAAGGATCACAAGGTTCTGAGAAATGTAATGTAAATGAGAGAGGCAAGGGAAGCCAGTAGCCCTTATCTTCCAACGGGGAACGATTGGGAGATTTTGGTCCGGTTTCGCGTGCGAGCCTCCTCATGGGCGGGTGACAGGATACGCGCACTCGGTTCCCCCCTCCGGTGGTCCTTGCTCGAGCGTGGGCAAGAAAAACTGCGAAATGTCAAACAGCCACGGGAATATTTTTCCACACCGCATATTTCTCTCAGTTTCTCTTCAGGGAGTAGCAAAATATGGACGCCTCGAGGGCCCTTGTGGGAATAGGTTGGCAAGGACTTCATTTTGAAGAAAGGTAAAATCAAAATACTGAATTTCAATAAGGAAATAGACTACTTACGAGTGTATTGAAACATGAGAGACGGACGGTCATTTCCACAAAGATTGCCACGTGATTCAGCTTGAAATAGGGAGGATGCGAAAACAAATCTTTCTGGAAGCATCTTCCACTCACGCGATGCGGTACATCTGTGTACGTATTGCAGGTGTTGAACTGGAGGCGGGGGCGGGGGGGCGGGGGGTGGGGGCAGGTTGGGGGGCGGGTGCGGGCGCTCGGGTGGGACGTGGTTGGGGGCGGGGGGTGCGGGCGCACGGGTGATGCGGACACTTCTTGATGTACGGAAGAACTTCTCCGTCCAGCTCGAAAACCATTGCTTCGCTGGAGTGAAAGAATGATCGCATCACAGAAAACATAGCCGTGCGGAAGCGGTGGTTCTTTGGCGAACGCTTCGAACTCGCGGACGCGAATCCGTGGCCACACGATGATGTCGGAGTGCCGAGGCCGCTTGGAAATAGGGTAAGTAATAGGCGTTTCTATATAGTAGAAGCACGAGCGGAAAATATGAGCTTGGAACGCAGTCAGTATCGGAGAATTCTCGGTGCAGCTTCTCTCTTCTTGTAGACCGGGTCGGCATGTTTTTAGTTTGTAAGTTGTTGAATTTCGCTCTGCCTTAAGGGCGAGGTTGTAAGGTGGTAAGTTGGAGCGTCCAGTGACTAAACTGCGTCTGCGCGGGTGTGTGGCTAGGCGGGACTTGTCTCTTGCGCTACAAAGCGGTGGAGACGTTGGCCTTTTGTGAAGACGAGCGAACCAGCCGAAGAACCGTCAAGGCCTGAATGTGAAGAAAGATGCTGCCAGGCGGAAACAAGCGGCTCCCCTCTGTAAGGCAGGAAGAAAGTTAAGCTATTTTAATCTTGGAAAAGCTTGTCATGCCCGTAACTAGACCATAGGCCTCATCAGGAAGAGTAGCTATGCAGGTTTACGAAGTACTTCATTGATGCTGTCAAAATGACTGCCAGAAATCTAGCTCGAAAGAAAGAGAGAACAACTTACTGAATTCGGTTTTGCACATGTCCCAAGTTAGCGAATCGGCAAGCGACTTGTCGAGTTGTTCAAAGGATTCCACTGTGAAAACTCTCACAGGATTACCAGTGATCGGAAATTCAAATATGAAATATGCTGTGCTCAAGACAATCACATAATCCCATAGACATTCACAGAAACTAGTAATAAGGGAGATGGATTGTGCCGTTATTCCAAACCATGGTGCCCTAATATAACCCTTAGTTTGACACTTCATCAAAAATCCGGTCATAGGGCCGAAACTTTGTCCATTTGTCTTGATCGCATTTGGAAATATACATACACTAGATATCAAGTACGTGGTGAGCGTGGTGTCAGGAGATGCCAGTAGTGAGCCCAGCCCCCCCCCCCTGCTACGCTTCTTACCAACGCGCGATGCAAGAGAGCAGAGAAGCAAAGCTAAGGACGGACGTGAAGCATTAAAGCAATATGAGGCCTTGCCTAGAGTTACGCTTCGTGAAGCTGATGCACGCTGTTACACAAAGATTGGTAACGGCCGGATGTGCAAAGTACACCATGATGTGAAGCGGTCTCGCTAGCAGCTGAAGCCTGCTCGGAAACCTGTCCTGGGAACAAAGTGGCCGTGTCACATAAAGAAAGTCTGCGAACTGGCCTTTCGCTGAGCGCTATAGGTAAATCTGATCCCTCTAGGCATTATTTTAATCGTAGCATCGCTAGGCAGCGTTCAGACTTCGCGATGACGTACGTGGACGCACTACCATTGCAGAAGCGCCCCGACGCTATAGGCGAGAACACTACACTCGGGAATGGACTGGCGCAGTTGCTAATGATATGAGAGAATTTGGCGAACGGGGCGGAGGGAGTGGATATCGCCTCACTACACAGTCTCTCCTTTTTCTTACACACTCCAAATGCACTGCACGGTGCTGACGGAATTCGATTGTGCAACTAAGCAACGCCTACACTCAACACTAGCGGCCGTGTGCCGAGGGCCGTTATTGGCAAGATGCCCGCGGAAAAACCGTGCGGAGGTTTTTTTTTCTCAATAAGAACAAAGGCTTTTCGTTTTTTTTTTCACCATTTCCCCGCTATATAGCACCTGCCAGCGTTTTACAATGAGTACAAGGCGCTGTTCGGCGACGAGGGGGGGGGGGAGGCATTTTGCACTTTAACGACTTCCCATTGACATGTCGACCCATCTAGACAGCCTCTTCTCGAGTTGACAGGTTTTACCATGATGGGTTTGAAGAGCTTGCTCCAGCTTCACAAGAGCTCACAGGTTTCACCAGAGTGAGACTTCTAAACCAGAACTAGTGAAGCAACGAAAATGCAAAATGCCCCCCCCCCCTCCCTGTCGGCGAACTGCGCTTGAGTACCAAATCATTGTGCCGACTGGCTTTGAGGATACCGTGCTCCTGAGCTTGTACTATGTGGTGCCTTTCTAATAGAAGGGGCGGATGGTCCGCGTGGAAATCCTCATTTGCGTCTCTTATAATCTATAGAAAAGCGTACTAGAGAACGAGGTAAAGGGAAAGAAAACAAAAAACAGCTTCCCTTTCAAAATCGAGACAGATTTCGATCATCCGATGATTCTGCCTACTTCTTGACAAATGCCGCGTCTTACCTTTCCCGTCGCAATCGTTCCAATGAGTCTCTCTTCACATTCAAATGTCGCGGAATGCAATGACTGTTCAATGTTTCGCGGAATCAATGACTGTGCGTTCGCCGTAAATGGGATGTTTCGAGAATCAGTTTTCACCGAGTACAGGCTATTCCTGTGCGAGCATTAGTAGGTCATTGGAAAGCTGTTTGGGTTTATGGCCTTTTGCGTGCAGATCAGTCGTTATACTGAGGGTTTCCTTTTTCCAACACTTCAGACTCAGAACCGGTATAATGTGGTTAAATGAACGCTAGACATCTCTGCAATCTCTTTTCAAATAGTTACCTGCTTTCGAATGTGAGAGTAGAAGAACTGAATGCGATTACAGAATATCTTGTGGTAAAACTCACCTGACTTTGTCCATCCGTTACAACCACTGCCACTTTGGGGATATCTCCTCCTCGCGCACCGTCAAATCCCCGATCAAGCGCCAATTTCAGCGCTTGGCCCGTATTGGTAGCTCCGGAGAGGAAATTGATCCGTTGAATTGCCCATTCCAGCTGAAATCATTCGTGATTGATACGACTGGTCGTTGAGACAATATCTTTTGAAGATCCCTAGAGATCACTCTTTGCAAGGCCCAACGCATATTCAATATGTCAACGGGGATCTCTTCGCGGTGGCTAACCTTCTGCGATCAAATGACAGGATGAAGGAATGCTACGTTAATTAATGAACCCTGTATTTCTTTTCATGAGTAGCACATCCACTCTCAGGGTTCTTTGTTCTACAAGAGGTAGTCATATCACGAGGCATACCAAAAGAGTAGCGATGAGCGGCTCAAGAGGCCGAAAGCTCGTGCTATTTTTGATCCAGAGGAAGGGGAGCGTTACCAGACAGTGCGTGAATTTGTTTGTAATCCATGTGATGTTTGAATGTCTTTGACAGAGAGTGATCATCCTCAACAAGCGATTGTAGCAAAGTAAAGGCTTGACAAATATTGAAGAAAACTCTCAACGACCGTAAATTCTTGAAAAGGAATGGATGCATTCGAACAGAGCGGCATCTAGAAGCCAGCCTATGGAGGGTCCCCATGAGCCTCAACTGATCTTTAGTCAGAAAGCAGAATTCGCTCCAGAAGTTTCTCTTGACGTAAGTCGTAAAATTCGGGGGAGGGAGGAGGCATCCTTATCTGTAGCGAAAAGAATTTCGTTCCGGTATCTATGGAGAGCAATTCTCGGGACTCGGATATGTGGGTTTTCAAAAGATTCGGCGACTCGTTACAATGAGCGGGGCCGTATAGTCCAAAGGAAAGATAGAGGGAATAAAAACGGGAGAATGTTTATTTTCTGGCTCCTCCAGACCGTATTGTATTGTAGGATTCACATCAGAATCTTAGTCTGAAAAAAACCTAATGGATGGGAGTCACTTCTTTTCATCTCACGGTATTGTATCCAGGAGTCTATAAGAAAGAATGGTTCCTTAGCCATCTATAGGCATTGTGCATGTAATAAGTATGAAACAACTACGTAGTGGTACTATGGTTGGGGGAGGGGGGTGCTGTTTATTAGTTTAGTATAGTGGCGAAAGGTGGGAAAGCGCCGTTGCAAAAGGGGCACATGTACGGCATTCGCACCAGGACCTAATTGATTCAATGGGGCTGGGTTGTGTTGTGTCAGGTCAACTAGTTGGGAAATACACTGCTAGTTTAAACGTAAGCTGTAAGGTGAAGTGAAAGAGTTAATTGCAACCTCACAGTGCTAGCTATAGTAATCTATCAATCATGGAAACCTCTAAAACCTGTTGCATGGCCATAATAATAAGGGAACAACTAGCCATTTTACTGGTAGATTTATGATTGTCTTGCTGGATGTAGTGCTTAAGAGTGCATAACTTTCAAATGTGGTACAAACCTGAGTGGGATGGGTGTACTGATTGAGGGTGAATTCGAGTCGTGGAGTCTCGGCATACTGAATGATGGCCATATGACTGCCTTCGCTCGAGATGTTCATGCGTTGGCCAAGTGCATCGCAAAGGCGATCTGAACTTTCCTAATTACTTCGGAGGCAGTTACACAAGTGATTTTTCTGGAACTGAGAGACTGACGCATTTCATTCTATCACTAAAAAAATATTGAACTATAACTTGTTTCACTCGGGCTGTACAAAGGAGTATTCCTCCCACCTGTTCTATCTCCTCCTTCTTGCCCTTTCCTGTTGCCGCTCCTTTTGAAACTTGTCTTTTTCTCCTTGTTTGCTCCACCTATGGAGCGGAAGTGGTGTGAAGGCAGGTGGCCTGCTCACCATGCGCGCGCTTCGCGGTCAAATCAAATCCCTGATTTGATTTCAGACCAACCAGACCTCTTCTCTTCTTGCGCTAGTAAATTGGTGCCAGGTTTGCGTGGGAGGATGAAAACGCTGACTCGTACCTCAGTAGGTGCAAGTCACTGAATAGGCCATATCGTATCCAGTTAGAAACTACGATTCTTGAAGAAAGCAGAATCGTGTCGCTACGACCTCC